AGAGAGAGAGAGAGAGAGAGAGAGAGAGAGAGAGAGAGAGAGAGAGAGAGAGAGAGAGAGGAGGTGATGGGGGGATGATGGGGTGAGTGGGGAGGAGGTAGAATGGGGGAAAACGCCGTAGTTCTTCCAACTGCAAATTTGCATGAATCTGGTGGGTTCATGTGGAGGACAGGTCACAGGTGCATTTGGAGGGGTGCGGGTTACTCAAAGTTTGTGGGAGAGTTGGAAGCCAATGAGAATTTCTGTTTTTAAGATATGAAAAAAGACATGGTTACCACTGCAACATTCCATCCTGAAGGAGATGAGCTCGAATCATAGCGATTTGAGTCTGTAGCTTGGCAATATGAGGATCAGGTTGGGGCCCATACTAATAATGCTCAGCCTTTGAGCCCAGCCTTTGGGTATGCCAACAAAAAGTTTGTGAGGTACTTCACATTGGAAACAAACTGTTACATGGAGGGATTGCCCACATAACCTTTGTTTTCAAACTTATTTATTTATTTATTGGTAAGCTGTTACTTTGCATCTAATCTATTCTGGTGCAGTTGGACCCTGCTGGGAACCTGACTATTACAAAGACCTTAGACCTTAGTGCATTTTGCCAGTAGCTGTGCCTCCCTTAACATGCAATCACTTCATTTTGCAAGGTAGAGATAGCTATGCTTGCCGGAGTCCCCTCTATAGCCTTAGGAAGTTAGGAGTAGGTGGTAGATCGGCAGTGAAAGGCGAATTGAGAGAAAGGAAAGAAGGGGGGGGAAAGTAAAAAAAACTAATATTATTCTGGATAAGACTGATAATTTTTTTTCTAGCGTTCACAGCATCCAGAGTGGTGCGATACCTGTTTCAGCAGGTGGGCGATACCGGCCAGGGGTCAGCCGGTAGCGTCAGGACCAAGCTTCTTCGATGGGCCAGTCGCTGTGCCAGTCGCTGTGCGTCCTGCATGTTCCCCCCATTAGGGTTGGGAGAACGAAAGCCCCCTCGTTGATTACTTCGATGGGCCAGTGGCCACTACTGGGCTCCCCGTAATACTGTAATGATAATAAAAAACGGCCTGGAAGACCGTCCTGTCCAAATTTGACAGGCAATCGAATTGGTTGGGCTTAAAAGAATTAGGCTGTGTAGCACACCGAACATGTTCGGAGCTTTTCGGAACGTCCGAACATGTTCGGGTGTTCGGCGGAACGCCTCCCGAACGTGTTCGGTCGAACATATTAAAAAAAAAAAAAAAAAAAAACTTCTTCAATTGTAGATTGTCATTCCATCACAGAGAGAGATTCAATCGGATAAAAAAACTCGGGAATTTTCTCGTATACTTCTTCTGGGCCTTTCCATCATGACTGTCGCATCCTCCTCCCATTCATGAGTGCATTGTGTGCGGCGTCGCCACACGGCACACAAGACGAGAAACGGAACGAGTGCATCTTTCCCATAATGGACAGGTTCATCCATTTGCTATAAATAGTAACAAACGTATTTTGCCACATTTCGTGGGCAGATGCACTTTTTTT